ATAACATTTGTATCAACGCATTCTCCCTAGAAAATGACAGGATGGAAAATGAGAACCTTAAATAACTAGGGAGGCCAAGCCCATGAGACACTCTTCAGGTCACTTGTTCTATCTAGGCTGGAATATTGCTGCACTCTAACAGCACCTTTCAAGGCAGGTGAAATTGCCGACCAAAGAAAATGTACAGAGAACTTTCCGGCGCGCATAACGGAGATAAAAAAAACCTCAATTACTGGGAGCGCTTGAGGTTTCTAAACCTGTTTTCCCCTGGAACGCAGGAGGGAGAGATACATGATTTATACACCTGGAAAATCCTAGAGGGACTAGTACCGAACTTGCACACGAAAATCACTCACAAACGAAAGAAAAAGACTTGGCAGACGATCACCATCCCCCATTGAAAAGCGGGGGTGTCACTTAGCACGTTAAGAGACCATACAATAAGTGTCAGGGGCCCGAGACTGTTCAACTGCCTCCCAGCCACATAAGGGGGATTACCAACAGACCCCTGGCATCTTCAAGCTGGCACTGGACAAGCACCTAAAGTCAGTTCCTGATCAGCCGGGCTGTGGCTCGTACGTTGGTTTGCGTGCAGCCAGCAGCAACAGCCTGGTTGATCAGGCGCTGATCCACCAGGAGGCCTGGTCACAGACCGGCCCGGGGGCGTTTGACCCCCCCGAAACTCCTCCGGTAAACCTCTCCAGGTAAACACTGTGAAGGAGGTAATGGTGCTACTTGCACAACACTGTGAAGGAGGTAATGGTGCTACTTGCATGACACTGTGAAGGAGGTAATAGTGCTACTTGCACAACACTGTGAAGGAGGTAATGGTGCTACTTGCACGACACTGAAGGAGGTAATGGTGATACTTGCACAACACTGCGAAAGAGGTAATGGTGCTACTTGCATGACACTGTGGAGGTAATGGTGCTACATGCATGACACTGTGAAGAAGGTAATGACGCTACTTGCACGACACTGTGAAGAAGGTAATGGTGCTACTTGCACGACAATGTGAAGAAGGTAATGGTGCTACTTGCACGACAATGTGATGAAGGTAATGGTGCTACTTGCACGACAATGTGAAGAAGGTAATGGTGCTACTTGCACGACAATGTGAGGAAGGTAATGGTGCTACTTGCACGACAATGTGAAGAAGGTAATGGTGCTACTTGCACGACACTGTGAAGAGGGTAATGGTGCTACTTGCACGACACTGTGAAGAGGGTAATGGTGCTACTTGCACAACACTGTGAAGTAGGTAATGGTGCTACTTGCACGACACTGAAGAAGGTAATGGTGCTACTTGCACGACAGTGAAGAAGGTAATGGTGCTACTTGCACGACACTGAAGGTAATGGTGTTACTTGCACGACACTGTGAAGAAGTAATGGTGCTACTTGCCACACCTGTTGAAGATAATGGTAGCTACTTTTGCACGACACATGAAGAGGGTAATGGTGCTACTTGCACGACACTGTGAAGAGGGTAAATGGTGCTACTGTGCACAACACAGAGAAGGAATAATGGAGCTACTTGCACGACACTGAAAGGTAATGGTGTGGCCGCCGGTGGCTAAAGTCTCCGCCTTCAACACACGAGGGGCCTCCCAGGTTCGTTTCCCGCGGGTGGAAACATTTCGACTGGAGGGGCCCTAACTGTTTTCCTTACACCTGTTGTCCAGTTCTCCTAGCAGCAAATAGTTATCCGGGTGTTTAGTCCAACTGGTGTGGGTGCATCCTGGGGACAAGATTAAGGACCCCAATGGAAATAAGTTATTAGACGGAGTCCTCGATGACGCACGTGACTTTCTTTGGGTATCCTGGTGGCTAACCCTAGCCGGGGTTAAAAACCGAACGAAATCTTATCTTATCTTATCTTCTTGCACGACAGTGAAGGTAATGGTGCTACTTGCACGACAGTGAAGGTAATGGTGTTACTTGCACGACACTGTGAAGAAGGTAATGGTGCTACTTGCACGACACTGTGAAGAAGGTAATGGTGCTACTTGCACGAGACTGTGAAGAAGGTAATGGTGCTACTTGCACGAGACTGTGAAGGAGGTAATGGTGCTACTTGCACGACACTGTGAAGGAGGTAATGGTGCTACTTGCACAACACTGTGAAAGGAGGTAAATGGTGCTACTGCACACACTGTGAAGAGGAATTGTGCTACTTAGCACAACACGTGAAGGAGGAATGGTATACTTGCACGACACTGGTGAAGGAGGTAATGGTGCTAACTTGCAACACAACTGTGAAGGAGTAATGGGCTACTTGCACGACACTGTGAAGGAGGTAATGGTGCTACTTGCACAACACTGAAGAGGGTAATGGTGCTACTTGCACGACACTTGGAAGGAGGTAATGGTGCTACTTGCACGACACTGTGAAGGAGGTAATGGTGCTACTTGCTTGACACTGTGAAGGAGGTAATGGTGCTACTTGCATGACACTGTGGAGGAAATGGTGCTACTTGCACGACACTGTGAAGGTAATGGTGCTACTTGCACAACACTGAAGGAGGTAATGGTGCTACTTGCACGACACTGAAGGTAATGGTGCTACTTGCACGACACTGTGAAGAAGGTAATGGTGCTACTTGCACGACACTGTGAAGGAGGTAATGGTGCTACTTGCACGACACTGAAGATGATGGTGCTACTTGCACGACACTGAAGATAATGGTGCTACTTGCACGACACAAGATAATGGTGCTACTTGCACGACACAAGATAATGGTGCTACTTGCATGACACTGTGAAGATAATGGTGCTACTTGCATGACACTGAGAATAATGGTGCTACTTGCACGATCACTGAAGACACTAATGGTGCTTACTTGCACGCACACTGAAAAGATAATGCGTGCTAACTTGCACGACACTGAAGGTAATGGTGCTGCTTGCACGACACTGAAGAAGATAATGGTGCTACTTGCACGACACTGTGAAGATAATGGTGAGCTGCAACTTAGCACGACACTGAAGACTAATGGCTGAGCTACTATGCACGACACGAAGATAATTGGTGCTAAATTCTGCACGACACGAAGACTAAGGTTGCGCTACTTGCACGACACTGAAGATAATGGTGCTACTTGCACGACACTGAAGATAAAAGGTGCTGCAACAGCTTGCACGACACGAAATAATGGGCGGTGCTACTCTGCACTGACACTATGAAGATACATGTGGTGCTACTTGCACAAGATAATGGTGCTACTTGCACAAGATAATGGTGCTACTTGCACAAGATAATGGTGCTACTTGCACAAGATAATGGTGCTACTTGCACGACACTGAAGATAATGGTGCTACTTGCACGACACTGTGAAGATAATGGTGCTACTTGCACGACACTGAAGATAATGGTGCTACTTGCACGACACTGAAGATAATGGTGCTACTTGCACGACACTGAAGATAATGGTGTTACTTGCATGACACTGAAGATAATGGTGCTACTTGCATGACACAGAAGATAATGGTGCTACTGCTACTTGCATGACACTGAAGATAATGGTGCTACTTGCACGACACTGAAAATAATGGTGCACTTGGCATCGACACTGAAGGTAATGGTGCTACCTTGCATGACACTGAAGAAGATAATGGTGCACGTGCACACACTGTGAAGATAATGGTGCTTACTTTGCACGACACTAAAGATAATTGGTGCTACTTGCACACACTGGAAGATAATTGGTGCTACTTGCACGACCACTGAATAGAATGTGCTACTTGCACACACTGAAGATAATGGTGCTACTCTGCACGACCACTGAAGATAATGGTGCTAACTTGCACGACACTGAAGATAATGGTGCTACTTCAACGACCACTGTGAAGATAATGGTGCTACTTGCACAACACGTGAGATAATGGAGGCTACTTTCACGACACTGTGAAGATAATGGTGCTACTTGCACGACACTGAAGTTAATGGTGCTGACTTGCACACACGAAGATAATGGTGCTACTTGCAACGACCACTGAAAGATAATGGTGCTACTTGCACGACACTGAAAGATAAATGGTGCTACTTGCACGACACTAGAAGATAATGGTGCTACTTGCACTACACTGTAAAAGTAATGGTGCTACTTGCACGACATTGAAGATAATGGTGCTACTTGCACGACACTGAAGATAATGGTGCTACTTGCACGACACTGTGAAGATAATGGTGCTACTTGCACGACACTGAAGATAATGGTGCTACTTGCACGACACTGTGAAGATAATGGTGCTACTTGCACGACACTGAAGATAATGGTGCTACTTGCACGACACTGAAGATAATGGTGCTACTTGCACGACACTGAAGATAATGGTGCTACTTGCACGACACTGAAGATAATGGTGCTACTTGCACGACACTGAAGAAGATAATGGTGCTACTTGCACGACACTGTGAAGATAATGGTTGCTACCTTGCACGACACAGAAGATAATTGGTGCTCTTGCACGACCACTGTGAAGATAATGGTGCTACTTGCACGACACTGAAGATAATGGTGCTACTTGCACGACACTGAAGATAATGGTGCTACTTGCACGACACTGAAGATAATGGTGCTACTTGCACGACACTGAAGGTAATGGTGCTACTTGCACGACACTGAAGATAATGGTGCTACTTGCACGACACTGAAGATAATGGTGCTACTTGGCAGGACACTGAAGGTAATGGTGCTACTTGCACGACACTGAAGATAATGGTGCTACTTGCACGACACTGAAGGTAATGGTGCTACTTGCACGACACTGAAGATAATGGTGCTACTTGCACGACACTGAAGAAGGTAAACAAGCCACAAATGAGTTATTTCCATTCCACCTAAATTGAAATAACTCACTTTGACTTTTTTGGGTTATCTTAGGTAATTTACACTATGTATGATAATTGTATTTATGTGTACCTGTGCCTAAATAAACTTACTAATATTTAAAATTGCACCTGTATTCCAAGTTCTCATAAGGCATACACTTACATGATTTTTCATAAGCTTTTCTAACTTTAAACGTTGAAGATCTGTGGCATTCTTGACCACAGTGACTTGCTTATCCTCATCCTCCTCAGACATAGCTAGACGAGTCGAGGAAGTTCCAGAAGAATTGAGAATTTCGCTGAAGTATTCTTGACTCACCAGACACACTAGTGTATGACGACACTACTGTGTAACACGGTATTGCTCCATCAATATAACTACTTCACAAAAATTAAAGCTATTTAATTACTCGGATCTATTTATAGCTACGTTATTTTTTAATAAATATTAAATATTTAATGGGGAAAATGTAGACAGGTTTTTTTTTCCTTTTTAAGTTATGGTGGGAGTTAATGAAGGAAGTGTTAAGTGTGGCAACTATGGTTGTGTGACGTCATATATATACAGAATCAGCTGAGGTAGAACAACACAAGTGTGTTAGTGTTGTCAAGAACACTCTGCTCAACCTGCAATATTACTTATTCTTGTACAATGGAGCTGCCACACCTAGGCACACACTGCTCAGAGTCTGCTTGCAGACAACTTGGTAAGTGAGAGAGAAACGTTTATACGTGGGCAATTAATGTGTAACACTTTACAGGGACCCCAGTGGAAATACGTCACTTGAATTTTTTGGGGTTATCCTAGATAATTTACACTATGTATGATAATTGTACTTATGTGTAACTGTATCTAAATAAACTTACTTACATCAGGTTTAAACATAAATATTTTACCTGGATGTATCTACTTTAGCTTTCTTAATCATTTCTGCAGTCTCATCCTAATCTTCCTCCAGGATGGAAAAATTTTTGTTGGAATTATAAACCCGGAGGGTTAACAACCCAGAATAACCCAATAGAGTCTGTGTATCTTCACATACTCCTATTCAACATACATCTTAGTTTACTTGGAGGTTCCATTCCCTTGATGCTTCTGAGAGGCTCGTGATCTAAGAATCCTTTTTTTGGGGAAAAACCTGTGCTCCAATTCCTTGAATTGAGTGTGAATACCTTCCATTTACCTTCAGATTTAGCACTTTCCATGAATGTAATATAATGTTGAAGGTTCCTTCTCCCCATGACTGCACCAATTGTGATGTGGAGTTACTGGTTGTGTTGATTCAGCCAGTGGTCCTGTGGTCACTGCAGTTACTTATGGTAATAGACATCATAGAACATAAGAACATAAGAAACTGGCTAGTGCATCCGTCTGGTATGGTTTTTTTAACATAAGAATGGAGGAATACTGCAGCAGGCCTATTGGCCCATACTAGGCAGGTCCTTCACAATTCATCCCACTAACAGAATATTTGCCCAACCCAATTTTCAATTCTACCCAAGCAGTAAGCTTTGATAATTCTATTTACTCATATGCAAGTCCCAGCCAAATCTATCCCTTCTCAGTCATGTATTTATCCAACCTGGTTTAGAAAGACACGTAAGCAAACACTATGACATATTTACTAGAAAACGTTTCGGTCCTGGGACTCTTCATCACTAGATCTAAGCGATACAGAGGTAGAAAAACATATATATTTATTTATTTATTTATTTATAATTTGAGCACACTTACAGAGGTACAAAAAAAAATACAGATAAGAGCAGCATGCCAAAGCCACTTATACTATGCATAGCATTACGGGCTGGCTTAAAATTAACTTAAGATTAACTAAGGCAATGATGAAATCAGTGAAAAACGATAATGTAAACTGTTAGTCTAAAGCACAAGTGAGTATTACAAAGACAGGTCAAATGGTTGCATAGCATTGTATGAAAATTCAGTAGAATGGAGTATTCTGTTAGTAGTGAATTTAAAAATAATAAAAGTTAGATTGGGTTTTTAGTTTTAACATTTTGTGATATAATTGTGAGAAACATTTAAGATATACAATTAATAAGGTTTCAGTTAATTCAGTATTTATTTTGGTTTTGGGTGATAAAGTGATCTTTGAGTAAGAACTTAAATTTTATAACAGGTTAGTGTTTCTTTTATATTTACGGTAATGAATTCCAGAGTTTTAGGGCCTTTATGTGCATTGAAGTTTTGCATAGCGTGAGATGGACACGAGGAATATCAAAAGAGTGATCTGTGCCTTGTGTTATGGTCATGTGTTCTGTTGAGGTTTGGCAAGGAGAATGTTTGAGGGGAAGGTTAATATCAGAGTTGAGTTGTTTCTATGTATGTAATAGGTTGCAGTAATAAGTATGGATGTTTTGTATGGTGAGTAGTTGATGTAATTGAATATTGGTGGAGTGTGCTGCTGTAGTGAGAATTGTTATCATCTAACTGCAGCCTTTTGTAGGGGTACTTAGTGTCTGAGATGGTTACTTGATTGTTGAGTAGGCCCCATGCACAAATTCCATAGGTGAGATAGGGGTAAATAAGAGAGTGATATAGGGCAGAGGGCTGACTGTGCGCATAGGTACCGTATCCTCTAACTTCGATAGTATGCCTACAGTCTTGGAAATTTTCTAGAAATTTGTTGTATATGTGTATGAAAATTTGAGTCTATTATCAAGGTGGATTTCCTAAAATTTTCCCTCTATGTAGCTTTGTGAAATAGGGTGATATTCCGTTTATCATTATGTTTAAGAGGACAATCTGTAGCTCTGTTTACCAAACTTAATGAAGTAGGTTTTTCAATGTTTAGTGTAAGTTTGTTAGTACCATCCAGTAGATATTTTCAGTAATTCGGTATTTACATATTGGCTAGCGCGACGGGCTTCGGTGGGAGAAGAACTATGTTTGTGGTCATCAGCAAATAGTGTGGGTTTTGAGTAGATTGAGAAGCCATTTGGTATGGTCATTTATGTAAGGAGAAAGATAAGAGGCCAAGGACACTTGCCCTTGGGGACACCAACTGTAATTGGTTGGTGCAGAAGAGTTTGCCCCATTTGCGTACACATATTGGCTTCTGTTGCTGAGGTATGACTTGAGGTAGTTGAGGGAGTGCCCTCTTATACCATAGTGTGATAATTTTTTACGTGGAGCAAGTCATGGTCACTGTAATCAAAAGCTTTACGTAAGTCAATGAAGATCCCCAGTGGACTTCCTTTTTTCTCTATTGCAGTGTATATATGTTCTAGCATGTGTAAAATAGCATCATTAGTATTTTTATTAGGCCTGATCCAAATTGGGCAGGGGTTGAGTAAGTTTTGAGATAAGGTAGGAGAGTAGAAATCTTCAAGTCTTCTGAATTAATTTTCGAAGATTTTTGAGAGAAGGGTGATTAAAGTGGATATTGGCCTATAGTTTTATCAACTCTGTTTGGTCTCCTCCTTTGTGGACGGGGTGACCCATGCTATTTTGAGAGTACTGTAGAAGGTGGAGTATTCAATGGATTTGTTAAAGAGTGTTGCAATGATTGGTGATAGCACTTGTACACTTTTTTTGTATATAAAGGGTGGTAGGTATTTAAATCTCCTTGCCTTGTTTTTAGTGCGTTGATAATAAGGGAGACTTCGTATGGGTTAGTCGAGCTAGGAACAGTGTGTCTAGGTAGTTGCCGGTGGAGGTAGTCATTTGGTGGGGTATCTGAGCTTGGATTTTATTGCAAGGTTTTGTCCTTTGTGGAGAAGAAATCATTGAGTCTGTTTGCTGTTTTCATTGACAATTGGTGGGGTTGGGGTTTCATCTGATTTTGCTAATTTTATTTCCTCGCTATTTTCGTGATATCTTTTTGTTCCCAGAATTTCTGATAGGGTTTTCCAGTCTTTTTTATATCACCTCGTAAGTTGGATAATCTGTTTCTCATCTATACAATTTTTTTGCCCTTCTATCAGGCTGGTTAGATGACGAGTAACGATTTGTTGGGTCTCTGGTTTATGTGACCCATTCTGACATGTTTTTTCAATATTGGTGTTTTGTATTTATATGATATTGAGAATGCTGGGTGTTTAGTCCAGTGGACTGTTCGTCTCTTAGCCGTCATCTGCTAGTTTTTTTAGGGCAGTGCTTGTTATAGAGGTATTGATCTTTTTTAGAAAATTATTAATACATTCGTCAATATCTGTATTGATTTCTAGCTCAGTGGTGCCAATCAAGTTTGCTAATGCTGTTTGAAGTTAATAATGCCTGCCCCATTGGAAGTCTGAAGGTTGACTTTAGTAGTGTCCTTTGGGTAATTCCAAGAGTTGTTATGAGTAAAGTAGGGTATTGTCTGTGGTATTATCGGTAATTATGCCGATTATTTAAAGGGGATAGGTGTTGGTTCTAAAGGATGTGGTCAAAGTAGGGAAAAACACTATTCCTCTGTAACTCTTGTAGTTTTGTTAACTGTTGTAGCAACATACAGTTACTCATGTGTTTGTGAATTCAGTAACGTGTGGGTCCTGGTCTTGCAGGAGATTTATATTGAAGTCACCTGAGAGTAGTAAGTGATCTTTGTTCATGCGTGCATCAGTTATCATAACTCCTAGGTTTTGACTAAATTGGCTAATGTTTGACTGTGGAACTCTGTAGATGTTTATCAATGTGAGAGGTTTTCGTAGGTATTTGGATTTGAATTTGGCGTGAGTGTGAGTGATGCATGGTGACCTGAAGAATGCTATGTCCTCATCCCAACATGGCATTCTTCAGGTCAAAGGACACAAGTGCAACTAATGTGACAAATTTATATGTGGCAATTAGTTGCACAGTTAGTTTGCACTGTGTCCCCTTTTACTTTACATGTTGTCGATAAGTCTACCAACATTATTATCATCCCTTTTCGTCAGGTCACCATGCATCACTCACATCCACTCCTCCACCTATATATATGTCATTCTACCTCTGTATGTAGAAGTGATCAAGGTCCCGGACCGAAATGTTTTTCTAATAAATATGTCAAGTGTTTGCTTACTGTCTTTCTAAAACCAAACTTGTCGGTATTTATTACCAAGGTTTTATACCATTTCTTCCAACCTAAATTTTGAAACTACCCAAGGTTTTAGAGCCTCAATAACCCAACTAGGAGACTGTTCACTCATCAACTCTCTGATTTCCAAACCAGTAAACTTTCCCTGAGTCGGCCCTTTCTAAAATTTATAACAGAAAGCGGGGGCAGAGTTGTCTAATTTGGAGTATCCATTATTGCAGGTTCCTCTCTTGGAGAGATATCCTCAAGGCCTTATTTATATCCCCTTTATTAATACCCATCTTCCACTTATACATTTCAATCATGTCTCCCCTCATTCTTCATCTTACAAGTGAATGTAATTTAGGGGTCTTCAATCTTTCTTCATGTGGAAGAGTTCTAATACTATGTACGTATTAGCTTTATCATTCATCGCTGAATGTTTTCTAATGAATATACCTAGGGATTGGCAGAGAGCATGCATAGTTCCTTTGTATAAAGGCAAAGGGGATAAAAGAGAGTGCAAAAATTATAGGGGGATAAGTCTGTTGAGTGTACCTGGTAAAGTGTATGGTAGAGTTATAATTGAAAGAATTAAGAGTAAGACGGAGAATAGGATAGCAGATGAACAAGGAGGCTTTAGGAAAGGTAGGGGGTGTGTGGACCAGGTGTTTACAGTGAAACATATAAGTGAACAGTATTTAGATAAG